GTTTACACTGCAGCAAACTCATTTGATCACATTTCAGTGTGTTTCTTTTTTTTTTAACAAAACATACAAACAATTTTCTAAAGCAGTTACTATGCAGCACCCACACACTACATTATATTAGCTCTAAAAGGGTCTGCATGAATGTTCACTGCACCAAAACTGCTACATACCCATTTGCAGTGAATCACTGGTTGATGTCATGGCAACTACTTTGGTAAGTCGTTATCTATACACAATAAATCTAAAGTTTCTCTAAAAGTGAGGAAATGACACGTACATGAACACAGCATACAAAGCACCTCTTCCATATATTCAATTTTAGAAAAGAGAACAATCTGTCAAAAAAAAAAAAAAAGTCATTGTCTTTTTTTTTAAATTGTAAAAAAGCCGCTAATGTTGCAGCTGGAACTGTGTGCTTTTTTTACTGCAGTCTTCTGCAAGCTTAATACAGCAAAAGGCAGAAAGAAAGAGGAAGTCTCTGAAATGTAGGTCACTGTACCCAATTGTGCTCTGGTTTCCTAGCAAATCGAGCTAGCTAACCCACAAACAGAGGAGGATGTAACTAGGCAACAGCGAGTCTCAAGAATATAATAACACTGTATTAATGAAGTATCTCACGCTCAATAATTGCAATTAAGTTTTTTTTTTTCTTTTTATTGAACAAAAACGATAAAACATGAGAGTCAGTTCAATATGGAAAAATTAGCTCTCCTGTTTTAGCTGCATTTTGTGCTACGTAACCTCAGAGAATGAACACTGAACGATCCATATGCATTTTGTTCCAATATAATAGTGAAGGAGGTGAGAACGCAGCAAACCTCTTGGTCAGGTAACAAATTATTGTATTCTTTAAAAGGAACCTGGAACCATACAGTAATTGCAGGCACAGACAATGCACCTCTCTGCTCAAAGGGATTCTTATGAGCAGCATGTACCAAAGCATAGGTTGCATATAGTTTCTGATGGTGTACAGCTTCACTGCTTTGGTTTAAAGCTGAACTCCAGGAATGAGAAATTCTAACCTTGCCGTAGTGCCCCTTCACACTGCACTCATTTAGTCTAGGGGTGCACTGATAGAGAGTATTACTTACATTATCTGTGGCTCTGGTAGGCCCAGCACTCTTGTCAAGTTCTGGGCAGCACCTTGACATCATCCCGCGCAGTGCCATTAATACTGGCAAGCATGTGACTCTGGCCCAAAACTGCTTAGAGATGGCTGCAAAGGAAACCGTTTGATGGACCGAGGAAGCCTACTAGAGCAAGAAAAAAGCCAAGTACTACTCCTTATCCCTGTACCCCTAAATGTGCATGTAACCCTTTCATTGCAGGGGTACCCCACTGCATGAGTAGATTGTCTCATACCTGGAAGTTCAGCTTTAGTAGATGTCCAACCCCAAAAGATTGCTACATTTGCTCAATGTTTTTCTCCCACAGTAACCCCTGGTTCACATCTGTGCAGGTGGTGCCACTTCGGGACCTGCATAAATACCTGCAGCCGCACCACCTACACAAAGGAATGTGGTACCCACATGGGGTGACATTCATGTTAATGGCATGCCACCCGCACTGGAAACCTCAGCTCCTGTGCGGGCTGTGATTTCCAAGTAGTGCAGGGACGTCTTCCCTGCGTGTCACGGGGCACAAGAGTCCATTTAAATGAAGGGGCTCTCATGCCCATGCAAATCTCGGCCCACACAGATGTGAACCAGGGGTAAAGGCAAGCAGGCTGCAACAGTTGACTTTCTAGAATTACAACTGGTTCGAATTAAAGAGGTCAGTAGACTCAAAATGATTAGATTGACTTTCAGTAATGTGAGTGGATTGAATACATCAGTGGCTTTTTGTATCTCTGATACACAGTAAAATCTTACCACCTGAGTTCTTAACTCTGCCCCTTTGTTGTTTCCATTACTATTGGACTTTCAATTTGATTTACAGTAGAAGGAATACAGTACAAGAAGTGAGACTCCAGGACAAGGTATGATGCAGAGACAAACTCCAAGGGCAGGGATACCACAAAAATGGGGTCTCCTAGAGATGCAATTGGCCAGTGGGTGATTCAGCCCACCCAAATCTACACCTAGCTGTAATATTTCTTTTGCACAGAATAGCCCCTTAACATGTTATCCTATGGAAGTGAAATGATAAACATTGTAAATAGTATTCATTACCTCATTTGCTTGCTTTAGTCCAAATGGGCTTTTAAAGCATTCACCGAGCCCTGCTGAAAATGCTCAAGCTTTGTTTGATGCTACGAGAGACAGTCTACACATTCGAACAGTCCATTGATTTTACAGTTCCCACATTGCATTAAAAGAAAGACTTTGAACATTGCTATTTGAGCACAGTGTAAGCGTCACAACCCTGTAGCTGCATAATGAAATAAAATAAATAATGAATACTATTTACAAAGTATATTTTGCAGATTGGCTTTAGCCAGTAAAGTGTATGAAAGACACTGATATTCTGCCCATTCAGGGCAAACTGACAGTATCTGCACATTAGCCCCCAACGTTTCCCGACAAACATCCCTTGCCACTTCCATGCTGTAGTATCCTTGGCTGTCTAGGCTTCAGTGACAACTGGTGTTGGAGCTCATACAGGGGAATGATGTCATGGCAATCCCAGCCTGGTAATTGGCCACTCGGGCCCGAGCACTGTCACACAGGGCAAGTCATGGGTTCCCCCATTCCCCAGCAATTCCTCACTAAGGTGCCAAGGGTGGGCCTGTGTAAGTAAACATGCCTGCTGGAAGGGAGGGGCTAGCTATGTGTAGACACTGTCAACTTTTGCAAAGTGACAGTGTCTGCTCTTAGCTAGTCCCCCTTTAAAATGGTAAGCCCGTATTGAATTCAGTACACATGGACAGACAACTTGGGAGCTGGATTTTCTTTTTTCCTAGATAACGGTATGAACAGAAAATGTACATTTTAATTTCTGTCTTACAGGAGATATTCAGGATCTGCAATAATACATATACAGATGTTTCAGAAACAGTTTTATTTCATGGGGGGAAAGAAATTAAGACACACCTGTAGGAAATCAGCATCCAAATTATTATTATTATTATTTTTTTTTTTTTAAATAGGGGAATAGGAAACCTAAAAGTGCCAGTAGCATCAAAGAATTAAAGTATGAACGTTTATCTAACAGACTCAACATTTGTAAAAGGAACATCTAGCCTGACAAGAAGCCCAGGTATCGACTGCGTGAAGACTGAACAACAGAAATCCTAACATGTTGGGCTAGCCAAAGACATCCACATTCATAGAAACTCTAGTCTTCAAACCAATTTGTCTTTATAATGGCCATAAAGCACAAAATACGTGGGCCTAAAATTAAAGTGATGATGATAGCTATTTTTTTTAAATTTAAAAAAAGATGTTATACTTATTTGATATTTACTATTGCACATTTACTATCACTATTGCAAACAGCATTCTCCCCCACTATCGCTCTTCCTTTCCTGCGGGTGCCCCTTCAGCAAGCCATGTGCTGAGAGGGCACTCATGCAGGTACGCACTGAACTGTGTGCTTCCATAGACACACAAAACGTGGTTCTGTCACATCATCTGCTCCCTCCTCACAGAAGAGGACAGCGCTGGATCAGGATCAGAGGAACCAGGTGAGTGTTTAGGGAATTAGTGTGGGGAGTATCAAGACACGTGGCCTCAAACATTATAGTAGATACTAATGAGCATCCTTTAATGCAATGCTATGAAGGAACTCCCAGAAATAGCAAATGCCATCACATCATTTTCACAAACCTTTAACTCCAGGTTTTGAGCAACATTTTGATTTAAAATTTACAGCCAATTGTTCAATGTGCCAAATAAGTTCAATATAGTACCCGGTCAGGCTGGATGTGCTTGAAAACCTTACAGATGGCTTTGCATCCAATAGAGGTGAAATTAGTATATCAGTTTCTACACACTGAAAGGTATGTCAATAAAACTGTAAATCCTCCATTTGCATTGGACCCCTTGTGGTAAGAGAGGGGTCTTGACTTCCTATAATCCCTTACGAATGTAGAGCTACTGTCCAGTTCTTAGTACTGATTCTAGCAAACTAGAGCTCTACTGTAAAAATGAAAAAACACAGCATTTGCTATAGAGAAGCATTTTGTTTTATGGTACTGTTGCAGCATCTGATTTCACCAATTACTGGAGCTTTTCTTGAAATTGGAAGTCAGCTGTAAATCAAAGAACAGTCAATGCAGTTACCAGTCGTTAGATGTGGTGGCTGCATTAGTTTCCTTTTTATAGGCCAAGAACATTTTAAGAAACTACAGAAAACCGCTGTTGATCTTGCCAGATATGCAGTATCCTTTGTAATTGGCCATCTTCTGTAAACTACTATTTCCCCATACTCCACATAATCCTGATCTGAGTAACATCAAAGGTTCCCTCCATACAGTGGAGTCAGTGAGGACAGGACAGGGATATCTGCAGATTTATCAGGAGAAAAAGGGAAAACAGTGCACCCAGTACATCTAAGGACTAGTAAGCTTCACATTATTAGAAATAAACTACAATGAGCTCAACCATCAACATGAAAAATTCTAAAATGCAAGCAAAGCCAGCTGCCAAAAAAATCCATTTGCAAATGTTGGATAAAGAAACCGTTGACTGTTAAGGGATACGTTTCAGTGTTGCTACTGGCTCTTTTGAAGGACACTTGAGAAAGTGCTTAAATAAATGTGTCAAAGGGTCATATTTCACCTGTACTTGCTATTGTTACATATCCATTCCATTTTTAAACTGGAAAGACTGCATAAAAGGGGCAAACAGAGTTCTGCTTTAACCAACCTCTTAATCTTACAAACCAAGGAACCCCATCGTACCTAAGTGGAGTGAATTTTTTTCTGTTGAACATCTAGCAACTTTAAATAAACAGTTTCTGATAAATAACCTAAGCCAAATGAAAAGTACAAAATTCATTACAGAAGAGGATCTGCCAATTCCCGTTGGCCGAGGTCTTTTGATCGCAAGGAAATGGAACTAAAAAATATCCATTTTGCTGCAGTGCAAAGGTATTACAATATCGGTTTTCAAGGTGCTGAGAGTGGGGATTCCCGAGAAGGTGAACCACTGTTGTCCTCTGGTGGAAAAAACTGTTAGAGTACAAGCCCGGATACCCCCAAGGGATTCCGGTAGATCAAATACTTTGTGCCATTCATCTTTTTCAGGGTCGTACTTCTGGACAATTTCAACCATACACCTATTGTTCCAAGAATATCCTCCAACAACGTAAATTTTGTTCTCAAAAACTGCTACTCCAACGTCACTTTGTCCACGTAACATTGCTGCAATTGGAGTCCACTGGTCCAAAGACGGAGAGTAGTACTCACAGCTAAGGACATCATCGTAGTCGCTAGTCCCTCTGAAATGATTGCCACCAATGACATAAAGTCTGTCTCCTACAGTGCACATGCAGTGCAAGCCTCGAACTGTGGTCATTGGAGCTTTCTGAGTCCATTTGTCCGTATCTGGATCGAAACACATCAGTTCCTTCTGGAAAGTGTCATGGGTAATACCACCTGAAATGAATACCAAAACAGAAGTTATAAAATATGTAATAAATGTATTACAGATACTACCAGTCCAAGGTTGGGGGGGGGGGGGGAGATAGAGCTAGATGAAAATGCCTAACAACATGACTAAGACAGGGTATAACATAACAGCCTTAGTGCTCTTTCGCTATACTTCCTCAGCAGCCTATTTCTTCTACATTTACGCTATTCAAACATTGCAGCCTATATCAGACTCCGCAGCACTCAATATTTCTTGGAGTCCTCGTGTCCCTGGCTGTAACCTATGGTTCCTCCATTTTTAAATAGGAGACAGGGGCTGCTGCAGGAGGTATGTATAACACCCTCCAAATACAGAAAACTATCATTTAGATTTTTTAAATGGCGACTGACTGGGTCGCTTTCAGCTATAATCAGAGAATCAGAAAGTGCCACTCTGCAAACTTACCCTCTCTGTATAAATATGTTTGAGACACACTAACATATTTAAAGCGTTAAATCAACTTCTGAGCTTACACTAACTAGACAAAGGGGTTATGAAGGTAAAAGGTTTTTTTTAACCTTAATACATTCTTTGCATTAAGGTTAAAAAAAAACAAACCTTTACATGTCAGCTCCCCCTAGCACCCCCTTAAAATACTTACCTGAGCCAGATCTCGATCCAGTGCTAGGCCCGTCTGCAGCAGCACTGCTCTTCTTTCCCCTCTTCTCACAGGAGGCTCAGCAGCAGCGGACACCATTGGCTCCTGTTGCTGTGAATGAAATTCTGTGAGCAGACAGTGGGGGGTGGAGCGCGGGCGAGTCAATAGATGAAAGTCACTTGCTATGGGGCCAGTCGGTAGGCAGGAGGAGCTGGGAGCATCAGCAGGGGACCCCAGAAGAGGACAGGAGCTGTTCTGTGCAAAACCATTGCAGAGAGCAAGTATAACATGTTTATTATAGAAAAAAACATTAAACCTTTACAATTACTTTAAAGGTTACACAAGATTTAATGATTGGGTTTGGATCCATTTTAATCCATTAAAAAAAGTTTTGAACACTGTAACTGCAACTTTAATACAGTATGCACTCACTGTTAAATACACTTTTGCTTTAAAGAAGCTTTATTATACTGTCTAAGGTTGGCCATACATGGGTCAGTTTTTTCCATTCAACTAGCCGGGCAGAACAAAAAAACAGACCCGTTTCCCCCATCCACACATTCAATGAGGATGGAGAAATCACCCCCCCCCCCCACCACTGAGCGATTGTAATTTGATACCAGGAAGACTTCCCCCTCTGTCAAAATACACAGATCAGCACTGAAGCCTACTGCCTGCGGTGCTCATCGAAGGGCTTTTATCCAACAGGGCAGATAACAGAAGTTGATCGAGAGATCTTGCCTTACATACACATTTAAGTGCATCAAGCGTTTTAGCGTTAATGGATTCTTCTGGCGCAATGTTAATTTATTCTGGCCATTGGAATACATAACGCTCAAATGCGCCTAAACGTGGCTAGCATTTAGATGCACTCAACAATTTTTCTGCTCTTCAGCTCCTCTTCTGAACTAGCTTTTTATGGATTTTTTTCAGCCTGTAAATGCTCTTCTTCTGATAGGCCTGTAAATGCCTACGAACACATAGGCCAACATAGCAGTGCTTTCATAGGTTAAAAAAAAAAAGCCAACCGCTGTAAAAGCAGCGTTTAAGCCCAGTGTGCATAAGGACTTACTAATAGATAAAGTTTACACTGTTGAAGTAAATCAATACTGCTTTTTAATGTTAAGCTTCTGTAAGGTGACTTCTGCTTAACTTTCAGCACCTCTTTAATAAAATACACATCAGAGCAAAGCAGGGAAATTCTACACAAATCAAAAGAAAAGTTATCCTTTTTTCAGTGACTGTATCTTCCCATAAAAAGAATTCAGCACGTGTCCAGCAAGTAACAATTGCCATAAGAATATGGCATACACTAAATGTAGAAAAGAAATCCTGTTCATGTACATGCAGGAAGGGAATGCTGATCACAGGAAGGGTATCTATCTCCCTGCGATTAGGCCACTATGAAGAGAGCAGTACAGCTGCAGCTGTGGTGTATTGACTACTTCATTGTGAAATGAATATTCTTCCTCTGATGAGTCCCTCCGCGTGACACAAATAAAGACCACTTACACAAGCTTTGTTCAATGTGTATTGGAGAGTGTTTCGAAAAGTCAGACTGTTTCAGGCAAAATGGGTATGGAAAATCTATGGATTTAATCAAAGTTATGACTCAATGCTGAAGGCTTTACCTAGTGGTTTTGCATGAATAATAGAATCCTATCTAAATCCAGAGAGAAATAATACATCTTTAAAGATAAATATCTTAATGCCCTGATTGTATTATTTAGAGGATTCTATTACTGTTATCAGAAGCCTCTGGAATTCATAACCATTTTTCCCCATTTCTTATTTTAAAACATTAGCACTAGACATTTATATTTTTGATCTCTGTTATACTGGCAGGAAAAAAAGCAGCATCGTCTCCCTATTACACCGGAGAAGTAAGATGTTTAATCTAATACCAAAGCAGTCCTACACATACATTCATATTCTGCTCCATCAGCCACTTCTTATGCATAGAGGAAGTGCAAAGTAGATCAACTCCACTCTAAACAGCAATTTAAATTACCAACGTTCTTGACTGACGGTGAGATGTGCCTGAAGCTGTTGGTGTCTGTCTTAACTACATGTGTAGTTAAAAAAAAAAAAAAAAAAGGAATCTTACGTTTCACTTTAAAGAACCAAGAGGTGTCTGCATTTATTTAGCAGGCATTGCAAAAGTCTTATGACTTGGGGAACTCAAATCTCAACCCTGGGCTTCACAAACCCCCTTCGCTAATTTACACTGCCAGCCAACCCAGAGCCTATTCAGTTCCTGGTCTCTGCTGCTCTTAATGGTCTTTGAATCTGTGTGTGTTGGCCACTAAACACACATATGTATAGACCGTTTTGCTGCAAATGAAGGGGAAGCATCCAAAGCAAGAGTCACTTGGCTCTCCCACACCCCAACAACATAGCAGCAAATAGTGAAGTAAAATATTTGTCAACATTTTTGGGTAAAAATGTGGCTCACTCTTCTTCTCCCATGTGATGGTGCTGGTGCCTTGATATTTTCCCAGAGCTCTGGGCCTGTTAAGAGGTCCATAGCCCTGTGCAATTCTGGAAGAACTCAGTTTAAAGCTCACAGCGCAAGGGCGCTTAGTAGATAGTATATGCTACTGGAAAGGAGAGGGAAGTAAAGTGACCATGCTGTCATGCATGGACAATGAAAGGGTCCCTTTTAAGTGATACCGCCCTCTGCTACTTGCATAACCAATGTGTAATCTTTTGGTCATATAATCTGGGTAGGATCGGCCAAATCTAGGCCTTAAAGCAGAAATTCACCCAAAAGGTGATGTTCCACTTGTTTGCATCCTCCCCAACCTCCATTACCACATTTGGTCCTTTTTTTCTTTGGGGGGGGGGGGGGGGGGTAGCAGGTACCTGATTGATAGGTACCCGCTTCCGGGTCAGATTGCCAAGGCAATCTGTGAGGAAGTTCGTCCTCCTCCTCCCCCTTCCCCCCACAGCCTTCTAGGACACACACAGAACACGGAGACCATTCACAAAGCACAGAGCAGCTCGCACAGTAGGAACGCAGCTCTGAAGCCAGAAGGCTTCTTCCCTTACCAGGCGATTGCACCTTGAGGACATAGCTGGATCCTTGGACAGGTAAGTGTGCTTATAGCTGCTGACTTTTTTTTTTTTTTTTTTTTATAGAGCCTCCTGAATCCATCCAATGCATCACTAGGGTACGCATTACACTAATTTAGAATCTGTCCTGTAGGCCAAGGTAGGCTGTTTGGGGCACAGTTACAGCCCCTTGCCAGCAACTTGCAGAACTCAGTAACAAGCTAAAATGTGCAGCGGCTATATGCAGCTGGACAATGTCAAGCCCCCCATGGACTTTCTGCTGCACGGGTAAAACCACCTGTGTGCAAGCCGCCTATGAGAGGGGTTATGTGCTGCAGAAAAATTAGCTGAATAAGGTAAGGATAAACGGCTCATAGGAACTCTTAGCAATTCATATTCCATGAAAAAGCAGCCTATCCAACTAATGCAAGAAATGCAATACAGTCAGTCCAGGTGGGATGACTGGTAAAGCTTGGAAAAGCACAAGAGTACAAAAATACAAAAGAAACACAGCATATTACAAAAAAATGTTGCATAGCTACCTGAAATGTACATGAGTCCACCAAATACAGTCCCAGCATGGCCATAGTGAGGCTCATTCATTTTCGCAACATAACTCCATTCATTTGTTCTGGGGTTGTAACACTCTACAGTGGCTGAATGGAACAAGAAAAATACATAGTTATTAGAAGGAACAAAACAGTGCAGAGCACAGCAACTTCTGCACTTTAAAGTTACACTGTCTGCCATTATTAATGTTCAAATCTAAAAATACAGCTTGAGAGCAGATACCCACAATTAGCCTTTTGATGTAAATCCACTTCATTTCCAGTGAACGGACTTTCCTGACTTTAGGGATAATCCCTGTCAATGTGCAATTTCCATGTCCAGTGACAGCACTTCATCAGCATTTAAGGGCACTATTACTAAACCAATGCAGGGGTTCTTGGTGAAAAAAAAGTAACATCAAATCGTAATAGCGGCTCTTACATAAATTTTACTTTTATCTAAGAAAGCTAATTCAACTTGTCAGCTTTAAAATGTTATTAAAAGACCTGCCTTTGAGCAGATACCAAAAGGCCATAATATTTTTGCTTTCTCTGGGCACCCCTCTTTTCCTGGTCTGCCTGGTCCAGTCAGAGCACCCTGATTGGACAGCTGGGGAGAAAAGCATATAATCAGGAGGGGAAAAAAAAAAAAAAAAAAAAAAAAATCAACTTTACATGTTTCCCCATGTTGTTTCCTAGAACAAAGTGCCTTTGCAGACAGACAGGTTCACTTTAAGTTTGTGTCAATAATACAATGTTTAGCACACATCACAGTGACTGATACTCAATATTTTTGTGAAATGTTACATTGATTTGAACAGCGTGCCGTTTAGTGTGTTCCAGAGAACAGAGACTGCACCAAAAGCAGGGTCTGAGTTATCCCTGCGGGTCTTCAGCCAGTGTTTAGCACAGTAAGGCTTTCTTTACATGACGGTAGCCAGTAAAAAACAGGCAGTTGAGATTTTTTACCACTTCTTCCTCTCTAGCTTTAAAGGCAGTTGGTACAAGGGAATACACATGCCTAGCAAAATGTAACCCTGTCATGTTCAGCAGGCAGTACCACCCGCCCACCAGGACCCATTCAAGTGAATGAGCCTCATCACTCTCAAAAGGCAAAAGTGATCATCTCAGAGGGCTACAGCATGTGTAAACAAGCCCCCCTAGAATGTGTACACAGCAGGAAATGACTAACAAAAGGAATAGAAAACATTTCACAGGACTGTAAATAAACACCCTGCAGTGATATATTCCGGAGTGACACTGCAACCTGTTCAGCACAATGTTTTTTGTTCAAAGCAAAAACTCACTTTATTATTATTTATTACTACAGGTACTTATATAGCGCTGTCAATTTATGCAGAGCTTTACACACACACATTGTACATTCACATCAGTCCCTAACCCTCAAGGGGTGTACAATCTAAGGTCCATAACTTACATTCAAACATATACATACTAGGGCCAATTTAGACAGGAGCCAATTAACCTGCCAGCATGTCTTTGGAGTGTGGGAGGAAACCGGAGCACCCGGAGGAAACCCACGCAGGCACAGGGAGAACATGCAAACTCCAGGCAGGTGGTGCCGTGGTTGGGATTCAAACCAACGACCCTAGCCAGGCGGAAGTGCTAACCATTTATCCACTGTGCTGCCCCATTTAAAATTAAACTTCAAGCAGATATAGGACACAATCAAATGCAGGTATATATTTATTATTTTAAATGTGGACTGATTTGTTGGCACCCTTACGTCTCATTGAAACAATGCTCCACTACCCCTAATAAATGATGAAATAGGAATTTTCCTTTGTATACTTGCATCATGGAGTAAAGCAAAGAAAGTGTGAAAAGAGAAATTTTTCTAGAAAGTGCCTTGGGCAGACTTGTTAAGATTAGAAATTGTAATATTTCAAATGTTTTTCTGTACTTCGTATACCATGTCTTCAATATTGTAACCAGTGAGCATATTTAAATGGAGAGAAGTAGTCTTTCTGCTATTAGTATCAGCGTGTGAACCACACTAAATATGGACCAGGAAAAGGAAACGAAAGAAAGAAAATGATAGACCAACATATCAAAGGTAAAGGCTGTAAGACTAATCAGCAAGAAGTTTGATGTTCCTGTGACTACAGATTTATTTATTTCAGTTACTTATATAGTGCCGTCAATTTACGCAGCGCTTTACATATTACATATTGTACATTCACATTAGTCCCTAGCCTTCAAGAGCGTACAATCTAAGCTCCATAACTCACATTCATGCATACACATACTAGTGCCAATTTAGATAAGATCCAATTAACCTACCAACATGTCTTTATTATTATTATTATTACTACGAGTTTATATAGCGCCAAAGGGTTTGCTCAGTGCTGTACAATAGGGGGGACAATACATGGCACAGTACAACAACAACAAACAACGTACGAGGGGTAAGAGGGCCCTACTCTTACGAGCTTACAATCTAGGAGGGAGGGGGTAAAGGTACAGTAGGAAGTGGCTGAGGGGGGTGAAGTGGTGGGAGGAATGAGGGAGGATGGCCGTTAGGTGAGGGTGGGGTAGGCTTCCCTGAAGAGATGGGTTTTGAGGGAGCGCCTGAATGTGAATAGGGAAGGCGACAGTCTGATGGATTGGGGCAGTGAGTTCCAGAGGATGGGGGAGGACCTGGAGAAGTCCTGCAGTCGTGCATGGGAGGAGGAGACCAGGGAGCAGGATAGAAGGAGGTCCTGTGAGGAGCGAAGGGTACGGGTAGGGTGGTACTTGGTGATCAGGTTGGTGAGGTAGTCAGGGGCAGTGTTGTGAACGGCTTTGTAGGTCAGGGTTAGGAGTTTAAATGTGTCTTTGGAATGTGGGAGGAAACTGGAGTATCTGGAGGAAACCCACGCAGGCACAGGGAGAACATGCAAACTCTAGGCAGGTAGATGCAACTATTACGAAGTTTGTTGTTCATGGGAGTGTTGCCAACTGCCCTATATAGGGCGCAAGAGGAAAACGGACCCCAGACTGAACAGAAGGAAAATGAAAATGGCAGACAATAAGCCAAGGAAAACTTCCAACGATATAAAAGCTGAACTCCAAGGTCAAGGATACATCAGTTTTGACTGCACCATCCATCGACTGTTAAGTGGAAGCGGGCACAAAGCAAAATGATCCCAGAGGACTCCAACATTGAAAATCATCAAAAAGCCAGACTGGAATTTGCTAAAAATACATATTTACAAGCCACAATGCTTCTGGAAGAATGTCCTTTGGAGAAATGGGACAAAATTGGATGTTCATAAAAAACACTAAACTAAGCTACCAACTGTGAAACAAGGAGACTAGGCTATGTTTTGGTGCCTTGAATCTGAATTCTTTTGGAAAGAGCCAAGCATGCAGTCTGGAGAAGGCAACCTTAAAAGACAGGAGAAATTTACTCAAGAAGGGTAGGCCAAACTATCTGCTTGCTGGTAGGCGCCACAGAAATTGCCTCTAAAAGTTGTCAGGGTCATTTTCAACCATGCCATTTCCATTGGTTTAATATAAAATACTCTGTTGACTTAAAAATGCAAAAGCAGAGTCCGATGTTTATCAAATATAGAATAAAACACAATTCCTATTGATAGGGGAATCCCTTCCACTGACCCACTGTGTTCTCCTGGTGAGGGGGGAGCCACCCCCGCCGGGAGAACACAGTGATTATGACTAGCAGCTATAATAGACATCAACAATAATCGCATGTAAAAATCAGACAGGCTGCTTGTACTCAAGTGGATCGATCAACTTGGTTACATTCAGCCTGCCCATACATGGTTTGAATCTCGGCCAGTCCCTGCTGAACCAGCCAAGATTCGAACCATCTATGGCTGGCTTTAGTACCTGAATTCAGATTGCTAGCAGCTTCTTTGTAGAGCTCAGACTGGGGAGGAAGAATTGGCAAAAAGTTGAGCTGCAGTGCAAGGAGCATGCTGATAGGAGGAGAGAGTTACAGAGAGGAGCTCATCAACTGCTGCGTCTCCTTTCACTGTCCAGTTACAGAGTGGGGGTAGGGAGTATATCTACCAGGTGTTAGTGAGCTACAACAAAGCAAAATCAGGTCTCCTTCATTGCCAGAGTGGGCAGTACTGTTTGACGGGACTGTGCAAATTTAAAAAAATACAAATCCTCACAGATAAAACAACTCCCTTCTTACTGTATATGCATTTCATTTGTGTATTTCACGGCTTTGCCTGAAGCTGAGCTTTAAAGTGTAACTATGTGCAAAAGTTCTTGTTTTAAATATTAATATTTTGGGTAGAGCAAGTGAGGGTTATGACCCCCATTTTTTTTTCCCCCTTTGCGTCCCAATAGGGAGATTTCACTTCACTGTGTCCCATAGCCAAAACGGAAGTGAGAATAATTCCCTTCAAAGTGAAGAATTCAGAGGGTGTCACCAGAACTAGTGTCTCAATTGGAAGATTCCCCCCTATTTTACTGTTCTGATGTCAACCTAAAATGTAGGATTTTCTTTTACTTTCACTTTCCATAACAAACAACAAGGCAAATAGAGAGGGTGAATCTCCCTAACAGAGGGGCACAGACAGCTGTAAAATTTAATAGAATGTCTAATCCGTCTCTATCCATTTCTTAGTTACCCTTTAAGATAAGCTGCATAGGTGTCTAACATTTTTAGCTAATAAAATGGAAGCATCATGGACCAACATTGGCAACTGTTTTATGTCATAATAATAAATAATACACACACACACACACCTTATTTTTTTTTTCCCATTTAAAAACTGAAAAAATATGTATGCGGGAAGTGGTGTAACATTTTGCCACAGAACATCTTAAACCATCTCTGGAGACTTGACTTTCTGCACTGAGTGTTCCAGAAAGATTTTTGCCACAGTTCACACAGAGAATTCATAGAAAGGAATAAAAAGAATGCATTAGTTACTGATGACTGCCCAGTACAGAAATGAACCCTGCTCTATACCGCATTTACCTCATTCACATTCTCTGAGAGCTGGCAAGAGTATGTACAAGATATAGTGCTCAATGTTCAAATATAGCATTCAGTGAGTGACAGAGGAAGCACGAGCAATAAACGTTCATTACAGAAGACCTGCTGAGGGAAATTTAGACACCAC